TGACTTCCGCGCATGAGATTTTTCGCGCGCATCGCGGAAATCGGCGATTGCACAGTCGCAGGGGTCAATTTTGCTGAAACGCTCAAATTCGTTGAAAAAATGGGGAGGGCGTAAAAATGTAAATTGAAATTATTACTCGAACGTATCCTGACACGTAGACTGACAGCGAAGTCAACAGCGAGTGTTTACAGATAGCAGCGTGCTACAGGCCTGCGCTAGTGTGTACGATGGTACGTTCCGTCATGCAAGAAGCGGCTTGCCGGATTGATGTTACGCGGCAATGGCCATTGTTTCATGGTCTATGGCGCGAAGCGATGCCCGGGTGTGTGCGAGGCATGCTTTATGACGGACCATGCGTAGGAGTTGACGGGCCGCCTGGGAGGGCGAGAACGAAGTAAAACGAATTTACGAAACCGCGTAGCTCCCTCGTCCTATCGTTTCATCCTATGAGGGGTTGTTAATTATTAAGGCCATGCCCGGACTGCTTATTCTATCCCTGCGTATAGTGGTACAGTTACTTTGTAGTATTTTATGACATGGCACTGTGTGATATGTGTTTATTGACAAATGCTGGATGTACAGGCGAAATACCAGAAATCAGTAAGTCATGTTTTAGAAAAAATTATTGAAGGTTGAAAGGCGTTGAAAAATCGAGATTTACTCAAAGCCGTCTTCGTCGACGCCGTGATCTTGGACGTTGCGCGTAGCAGGTTTTGCGATGAGAGCACGTCAATCAGCAGGGTGATTCACGCTACTCTGCTTGGACTGCTATGCCGCCATGCTGCGATTGTGCGAATCTTTAAAATGTTGAGTGCGGCGTTTCGCGTATGAATGCCGAAGTTTCTATCCCACGGCACATAACTTTTAGCCGAAATTGCCTGAAAAAGTCACTTTAACGTCGAAAAATTCGCGTTTCTAACGTAGCGGAATCTAGTCGCGACGCCCAGAAGGGGCCCCAGCTCGATTTCGCGCGAAGCACACGCGGCACGGTTTTCGGAGGGAGTACTGTAAAACGACCACTTCGCCTATTAATATAGTAGATCTTTGATATTCGGTCATGCTACGGGGTGCCGGACAGTGTGAACGCAAGCACAGCGCCTACAGAGCCAACTTAGTCTTACGCTAGTACACGTCTTACGCTGACAACGGTAAGCGAACACTTTTGTGCCAGTGTGATGCTGCGACGATCTTCAGTAAAATCTTCGCACTTTTCATTCTAATCGATCTGCTAAATTCTTGCTTAACTCATGTTTTTAGCTCAACTTGCTGAATCTGCGCCACACGTCCCAGAACCCTCCTATATGCTATCCTTAAAAATTCCCTCTCTCTCGCCTCTTTTTACTTTCTCGATCGCCTTTTATAGCCTACTATAATATATACTAAATATATAGCTTATCCGCTTGCTTTCCCCTTTAGATTTCCTGTATTAACACTCATTCTCTCTTCTCTTTCCACTTTCCTTCTCGCGATGCCTTCTTCTTTACTCTATCACTTGCATACATTCGCAATCGTCTCTCGTGCTGTTCATTGTTGTAGGTGTGCTGGGTATACGTGCACTTGTATAAGCCTTGCGTGTGCGCGGCGCGGTGCTTGTGTATTGTGTGCGCTGCCGTTGCTGCATATGCGTGCATGTTGCCCTTGCGTATGTTCTTGTGATTGTCTGTGCGTGTACGTATAAGCGTGTGTTCGCACGCACGCATGTGTGCGTTTTTGCGTGCGTTTTTGCGTGCGTGTGTATATGTGGATACGCGTGTGTGTGCCTGTGTATGCGTGTACGTATAAGAGTGTATACGTACGCATGTGTGCGTGCGTACGTTCGTGCGTTTGTGCGTGCGTGAGTGTGTTCCATACGTATGTGCCTGTGTATGCTCGTATGCATGTGTGTGAGCGCATGTGTGTGCGTGTGTGAGCGCATGTGTGTGCGTGTGCGCGCGTCACTGTGTATGCGTGTGCGTGTTCGTGGGTGTGTGCGTGCGTGCGTGACCGAATGCGTGTGTGTGGCCGGGCGTGCGTGCGTGCGTGCGTGACCGAATGCGTGTGTGTGGCCGGGCGTGCGTGCGTGCGTGCGTGCGTGCGCGTGTGTGTGTGTGTAATGATTAATCAATCTAATAGCTATTCCTGCTTGTATTTGTAAATGTCGTGTAATTGTATTGTTGTTGTTACATACAAATTACTAATTCATGATTTTATGATAAATAATGCCCAATCTATTGTCCAATCAATCTATGACAAATTCGAGAGCTATTTGTAAACGTAATGTCCCTTCTATTGTTCGACGGCTCACGTAGTCACCATAATATGTTATTATAATGATAACTGTAAATTAGTTATCATTATTGTGTCATATAACTATCTAGTATCAATTATTAAATTCATAAAAGCGATGTGTGCAAAGATGGTACGCCATATGTTTTGTAACTATATTTTTGTGTAACGTTTTAAAGTTAGATATTGGGTATTTGCATCATGTAATTGTAGCTGTGACTGACATTGTTTTTGGATTACGCGTGATGTTTGATAGAGCAAGATGAATAAATTCATCATGAAATGTCGTCATGGTGCAATGATGAACATGGCGTGTTGCATGTTTGCGCGTAGCATGTTACGCGTAGCATGATATTGAGAGTCTACAACAAGTGAAATACACAAAGCCTGGATGTTTTTCAGCACTTTCCGTTTATTGTTAGTTTAGAAGGACCTATAAATATCACACTTGCAGACAACTTCCTTGCTTCTTCCGTTTCACAAATATTCTGCCCCATCGTTTTCATAACGATTTTTTTTACCATAATTTACCATTGGCACATAATAAAATTATGGAACTTTTTTGCATTTCTGACTGATCGAAACTAGTTTTATGAAATAGTTTAGCGAAAATAGTTTTCTTAAGCGAATTTAATGAACGAAACTATTGAACGAAATCGAACCGATAAATCGCTCAGTGTTCAATTTAGGGGCGCCACCGCTCTGACTCTCTTAAGATACATTCGTTGGGTGAAAAATCGCGTTGGGGTGGGCCCCCCCCCCCGAGGGGTGTGGCCCCCGCCTCCCGCCCCCGGGCCACCCCTGGACCCCGCCCGCCGCCTTTTAGGGGAGAGTGAGTGCTCTGGGGGGGGGCGGCCATTTTCTCTTCTTGTATATTTTTTTCTGCTGTTTCTCTTTTTGTTGCTCAGATCCGCCGCAATTCCTCGTAATGTGGTGGCTGCCGCGTTTCTTCGGTGGGCGGGGGCGGGGGGGGCGGAGGGGATCCTGGTGGGGGGGGGGGGGGGGGGCCCCCCCCCCATGATCTTCCGTTTGTAGCGAGCATCATGGACCAATTAAAAATCATTCACGGTTATCTCTTCTATCGGAATCTCAAAGTTGGTAAGAGTCGTCATCGGGGGGGGGTAGGCACGATGGTAGTGGCCTTACGCATGCGCTTGCTTCTCTGCGTTTAACCATATCCAGCCTTGGCGCCATAGCCGGCGCTGCTGCCGTAGCCACCATCGCCGTAACCAGCTCCGTCGGCAACGCTGGCGTCACCCCTCTGGTTGGCGAGCACAGAAATACCGGCAGCTCCGTCGGCAACGATGACGTCACCCCCCTGGTTGGCGGGCACAGAAATATCGCGAGCTCCGACCGTGGGTTGGCGGGGGCGACGCCGACAGCCTGGATGCCGTTGTACGGGATGTTCCTGGCGAAAGCGTAGGCGGCTGCCGGCAGATCCGGCTCCGCTGGCTGACGGCATTCTGGGTGAAGCTGGCCCTGCGCCTCCTGTTGGCAGTGCGGCTAGCCTGGCGGGCAGAGGCGGAACGCCGCTACAGAGGCAGCACGGTCGGCAGAAGCAGCCTGCCATTGGCGGGCAGATCCAGCTCCCCACTGGCGTCCAATCACGGCCGGGGCGGTGGCCGGGGCGGCTCCCGCTGGGACGTGGCTTGCGGCCTTACCTTTGGCTCCCTGGGAAGTTGAAGTTACCGACTCCGACGAATTCATCGCTGCCCTCGAAGGCGTTGTTGAGACGCGATGTCGCGCCACGAGCGTGTAGCGCCAGCAATAGCGCCGTGAGCTCCAAGACCACCGAGACCGAGACGTCCAAGTCGCATGATACCGACGCATGGAGACGCAGCAAGCCTCACAGCGCGCGTCCACGCGACAATCCCAATCCGCGGCATCCGAGACCGAACCTGCGGCCGTATCCGAGTCCGTGCCCGTATCCGAGTCCATGCCCGTATCCGAGTCCGTGCCCGTATCCGAGTCCTTGCCCGTATCCGAGTCCGTGCCCGTATCCGAGTCCTTGCCCGTATCCGAGTCCATGCCCGTATCCGAGTCCATGCCCGTATCCGTATCCGAGTCCGCCTCCGTATCCGAGTCCGCGTCCGACGCCGAGGCCACCGTTGGCGACCGAGGGCAACTGAGACCTCTAGGTTAGCCGGAGCAGTCCCTGCTTATCGCACGACAGCCACCTATAAGTAATCGAAGTGCGCACGGTGGACATCAGCACCTGCATGGATGCTGCGGCTACGTCGTGCATAGTAATACGTGTGCATCTATGCTCCTCAAACAAGCCTGATATAATGCAAATAAGCTCATATTGAGGCTGGATAGTTCAACTAAAAACGAAACCGCGAACATCTACGAAAGAAGCTCAAGTTCCGTGTATCGTTCGTTGTCTTTGGAGCTTCCTTCCATAATACGTTTGCGTGTTGTTTACGAACGGAACAAAATCTATTAGGCTATACTATTTAATTTCGCTACACATCGTTCTGGCCGAAGCTGTGCTTGGACTGACGAAATACGAACCCGAATAGTTGACAATATGAATATATAAAACTCTACCCTTCATTAGGCAAAAAAAAACTCCGGCGTCCGACGGAGTGGCAGACGCGTCCGAAAAACGAAACGACGTATGCAGTAATATCAAAATGTAAATAATGACTTACTACTTACTAAATTATTATAAATATATTTGTCATTATTCACCGCTGGTAATATCTCTACAGCGTCCGCTTTGGCAACGTTCAGCAATAATAGAAAGAATATATTTATCTATGCTTTTTATACTTACAGCTAATCAGTAGAATAACAGGCCAAAGACAACATTGTGACGAGTGCTCTGCAAATTATAAGACAATTTAAGGAGTCTCACGAAACGAAAGAACCGTTAGCAATATCGTAGACACGGATATATCATTCCTATACATTTTGCACTGCGTGAGTCCAACATGTTCTGTTAGCATCTATGGCAATACGACATATGCATATACGCTCTCCTATGACAAATTTGTCATAGAAGATTCTTCCTATGACAGATATTGTTTTATGTGTTGCGCGCATCATAAGGAGTTTAGGAGCGCTATTATGAACGCAAGCAGTGAATTGCAGCTGTAAAGCGAACGAAGTTGACTCGTCAATATTTGTCGTAAGAAGATATGTCCTATGACAAATAGTGTCATAGGAGAGCGTATATGCGATGTCGTATTTGTCATCAGATGCAATCAGAACCGCTAGCAATATCGTAGTCACGGTATAAGTATATCGTTATACTATAACATCCTATATATTGCACTGCGTGAGTCGTACTCCTACGCGAACAATAGTTACATAAAGACATATCTATCAGCTCCGACTATCTCGGCTTTGCACATAGTATACATATAATATAAGCGTAGAAAAAGTTATACTTACATTACCAAAGATGCTTTCAGAGGTCCTCTCGATGCAAAGTAAGTGTCTGCAGTGCTGACGATAGGCTAAGAGAGATGGGTTTATATATCCTAATCCTTGATCGTTAACCTGCCATCGCCTATTCTTCTGCCCAGCCGAGCAGCCTTGTATTACTTCTCGCGCTCTTGCTCACGCATTCGCGGCCATATTGTATATCAATCATACTCAAGGTCACGTATTTCGCTGGCAAGAAATGTGAGCTGTCGCTACTGTCACACCATCAACGCGAAATCAACCATCTGATGACCGCATGCGGAACTTTAGAAAACAGACAGGAGCTTGCTGACAAAAACTACCCGATCCTAAATTCCAACCCGCTATGAAAAATCGATTAGTATATTTAATCAACAGATTTAAGTGTGGCGGGACACCGTGAAGCGAACGCGTAACGGAAAGTTATTTTTACGCTGCGTCTGTGACGCTTGGTTCAACGCGCAGACCTAGCTATCGTCTGACGGTAAATTGGTAGAGTCTATTTGTGGAAGCGCGCGGCGCCGGCGCGGCGCGAAAATCGCCCCAACGGGGCTAAAAGTCATAGACAAAGAAGACCTACGTAATATGTTTATATGGGAGTTTTAATCCTCGTAGCGTCGAAAAGGAATGGCACTTATTGTGGCTGAACAAAGCTTTGTGAAAAATCGCCGGCGCAGGTTAGAAAACCAACATTAAAAATATAATAGGCGATACTAGGATACGCATCAGTTTGCTCGATGTCATATGCTGATATTAACCGCTCGAGGCTTGCATTGCAATTGCTGGGTCTCCTTCCAGGCACCAGTTATATATATATATATATTTATATATATATATATATAATATATATATATATATATATGTATAAGTGTTGTGTAGTGTGTGTGGGTGTGTGTGTGTGTGTGTGTGTGTGTGTGTGTGTGTGTGTGTGTGTGTGTGTGTGTGTGTATGTGTGTGTGTGTGTGTGTGTGTTGTGTGTGTGTGTGTGTATGTGTGTGTGTGTGGTGCATGCATGTAATGTGTGTATGTATGTATGTATGTGTGTGTGTGTGTGTGTGTGGTGTGTGTGTGTGTGTTGTGTGTGAGTGTGCGTGTGCGTGCGCGTGTGTGTATGTTGTGTGTGTGGTGTGTGTGTGTGTGTGTGAGAGAGAGAGAGTGTGTGTGTGTGTGGGGGTGTGTGTGTGTGTGTGTGTGTGGTGTGTGTGTTGAGTGTGAGTGTGCGCTGTGTCGTGCGCGTGTGTGTATGTGTGTGTGTGTGCCGGGTATATATATTATATATATATGTATATAATATATAATGTTTGATATTCGTGCATGCTACGGGGTGGGACTAGTGTGAACGCAAGCACAGCGCACAGAGCCAACTTAGTCTTACGCTAGTACACGTCTACGCTGACAACGGTAAGCGACACTTTTGTCGGCCAGTGTGATGCTGCGACGATCTTCAGTAAAATCTTCGCATTTCATTCTAATCGATCTGTAAATTTGCGTTAACGTCATGTTTTAGCTCACTTGCTGAATTCTGCGCCATGACGTCCCAGAACCCTCCTAATACGTACCTTAAAATTCCCCCTCTCTCGCTCTTTTTTACTTTCTCGATCGCCTTTTATAGCCTACTATAATATATACTAAATATATAGCTTATCCGCTTGCTTTCCCCCTTTAGATTTCCCTGTATAACACTCATTCTCTCTCTCTCTCTCTTTCCACTTTCTTTCTCGCGATGCTTCTTTCTTAATTTTACTCTATCACTTGCATACAACCGCAATCGTCTCTCTTGCTATAATTGTTGTAGGTGTGCTGGTAGGTGCTTGTATAAGCCTGCGTGCGCGTGCGAGTGCTTGTGTATGTGTGTGCGCTGCGTGGTGCTTGTATATTGTGCGTGCGTGCGGTTGCTTGTGTATTGTTGCGTGCGTGCGGTGGCCTTGTGTATGTTGTCGGCGGTGGCTGTGTGTATATGTGTGGGTGCGGGTGCTTGTGTTATGTGTGCGTGCGGGGCTTGTGTGCGGGTGCTTGTGATTGTGTGTGCGTGCGGGTGCTTGTGTATGTGTGTGCGTGCGGGTGGCTTGTGTATAATGTGTGTGCGTGCGGTGCTTGTGTATGTGTGTCCGTGCGGGTGCTTGAGTATGTGCCGTGCGTGCGGGTGCTTGTGTATGTGTTGTGCGTGCGGTTGGTGCTTGTGATGATGTGTGTCGTGCGGGTGCTTTGTTATGTGTGTGCGTGCGGTGCTTGTGTATTGTCGTGCGTGCGGGTGCTTGTGTAATGTGTGTGCGTGCGGGTGCTTGTGTATGTGTGTGCGTGCGGGTGCTTGTGTATGTGTGTGCGTGCGGGTGCTTGTGTATGTGTGTGCGTGCGGGTGCTTGTGTATGTGTGTGCGTGCGGTGCTTGTGTATGTGCGTGCGTGCGGTGCTTGTGTATGTGTGTGCGTGCGTGTGCTTGTGTATGTGTGTCCGGGCGCGTGCTTGTGTATGTGTGTGGTCGGGTGCTTGTGTAGTGTGTGCGTGCGGGGTGCTGTGTGTATGTGTGTGCGTGCGGGTGCTTGTGTATGTGTGTGCGTGCGTGTGCTTGTGTATGTGTGTGCGTGCGGGTGCTTGTGAATTGTGTGTGCGTGCGGGTGCTTGTGATGTGTGCGTGGCGTGTGCTTGTGTTGCGTGTGTGCGTGCGGGTGCTTGTGCATATGTGTGTGCTGCGGTAGTTGTGTATGTGTGTGCGTGTCGTGTGCATATGCGTGCATGTCCTGCGTATGTCTGTGTATGTCTCGCGGTGAACGTATACTCGCAGCGCATGATGCGTGCGTGCGTGCGTGGCATTTTTGCGTGCGTGTGTATATGTTGGATACGCGTGTGTGTGCCTGTGTATGCGTGTACGTATAAGAAGTGTATACGTACGCATGTGTGCGTGCGTACGTTCGTGCGTTGTGCGTGCGTGAGTGTGTTCGCATACGTTATGTGGCCTGTGTATGCTCGTATGCATGTTGTGAGCGGTCATTGTGTGTGCGTGTGGGCGCGCGTCACTGTGTATGCGTGTGCTGTGTCGTGGCCTGCGTGCGTGGCTGTTGCGGCTGGGCGTGTGTGCGGCGTGTTGTTCGTTTATGACATGTTATTGCGTTGCTATATGTTTCTGCTATATCATGTAAGTTAGCGCGTGATATTGTACGCGCTGATAAATACGTGTGTCTATTTTTTAAAACATGCATTCATTACAAAACATCATTACAAAACAAACCCAAGCAAACGTGTGAGCTGTAGGTATGTTGGAAAGTCATGTGATGTGATTATACACGTTCTAAACAGCGAATAATACATGTACATATAATACTACTAATTATAATATACTAATAAATATACTAACTAATAATAATATATTCATAATACTAATAATATACTAATAATAATAATATATTAATAATACTAGTAATATACATATAATACTAATAATACATGATTGTATTATTAGCTCTTCACGTTATATAGTATCAAACTGCACCTGAGTGCGTGTTGCTGTGGACTTGATAATGTGCGTGTGCGTGTGCTTGCCGACACGCTCGCTCTAATACTATTTCTACATAATATTATAAATATACCATTAATGAATAGCTAATAATAATCATATAATACTAATAACAGGATAAACTAATAGAATTCATTAGCTCTTCACGTTATATAGTATCAAACTGCACCTGAGTGCGTGTTGCTGTGGACTGATATGTGCGTATATGCGTGTGCTTGCTTGTATGCGTGTGCGTATTGTGTGCGTGTATGAGTGTATGCGTGTAAACTCGCTCTGAGAAACTGCTAGCGTTCACGCTCGCGCGGGTTGCGCAATTCGTTGGTCGCACTCGTAAATATGAAAATAAATAAACAACAGAACGTCGTTTGTAGACACGTTCATAAGTCGGATGTTTGTCACTCTCTGTAACTATAGCCACCTCGGCCTTTCTTATATGTTCGATGCAAAGAGAGAAATGTTGAAAATTCTCCAAGTGAGATACTGATTGGCCTACTGATTGGCAATCGATTTCTATAGTATTTATGGACCGTAACTGCCCCACTATTATAATGCGCAGGTGATCACATTTATTATCTGATTCCATTATTAATCCTTTTCCTAAAAAAACATATTATGGACTCTTGATGTACATACACAAGGCCGTGCAAAACTTTAATTTGGTAAAAGGCAACAAATGTAGAGCTAAAATGCGTAGGCTTATTCCAACGTCCTTGAGCCAAGGAAATAATTATTACTTCACAATATATCGACCGATAGAACATGTTGTTCTAATTTCAAAGCATCAAGTGGCAGTGTAACACCCGCCGGGCAGGTTTGAATATTGTGATTAGCATATCAGAACAATTCTGAAATATTTATACCTAATTTTGACAGATAAAATCATAGCACTATTTATAGTGATTGCTGCATGGAAACGTTGGTTGCGGTCGATTTTCTACAAGCTTGTACTATTTATTAAACAGCTTTACAGCAATAACCGCACGGTGTTGAGCGTGTATGCCATGGCCCACATGACTACGAATCGGCGTAATGCGTTTAGTATGTTGTAAGCTAAAGTATGCATTTAATATTGTTTTAAATATATTGTATGTGATTAAATTCAGTTCATAAAAAAAAATTCATTATTTTTTGCCGTTTGAAAGATTAACAGATTAAGATAGATATATGTCATAGTCATTAGCACATGTCCTCAGTATCAGTAGTAACAACTTCAAAACGGGCAACACTAGCATGCATAATCTGTGCATATGGATTATAAAATTGACAACGGTAATGTTTTTTTATCGTCAAGATTTATATCATGATGATCGTCATTGATATCAACGTCGCCATCGTCATCATCATCATTAATCATAATTTTTATTATCATCGTTATCGTCATCATCATCACTTTTATTATCATTGTTGTCGTCGTCATCATCATCATCGTCGTCGTCATCATCGTCATAATTCAAATCTTCAGTATTATGTTAGCATGACCATTGTCCAGTTTGCTATCGTTAAAATTATCATCGACAATGACATAGTCACTATTTGTGTCATCAGTGTTATCGTCACCATGACAACTGTGGCTGTCCATTTCCTCACATAAAACGACGATAGTAAATAAAAAGAACAGAGCGATTGGGTTTTCGAGTTTGCACTTTATTGTTAGTTTTAAATAAAGACCTATAAATATCACACTTGCAGAAGACTTGGTGGTTTCTACCCGAGTACTAATTCGCATCGATGTCACAACAGCTTACGAAGCAAAAGAACGGACAATTTCTCCGTTTACTTGATTGACAATTTTCCGCGTTACTTTGATATAATGAGATGTCTGGAGATATGCACACAGGGTGCGAGGACCGAGAACGCATTACTTGCTCGTTTTCGATCTAAAGCGGAAATTTTTTATCTACCAGTGGCAAAGATATTAACGCATGCAATCGTTACAATGTGTGAAGCCGGTTGCCTGTCTTCGTAAGCTGTTAACCTTTGAATCGCACTCGGGCGTTGTTTGGTTTCCTTGTTTACTTGCTTCTCGTTTCGAATTGTTTTCGTTTCCTTTAGTTTGTTAGGACGCATGCCAAGATGGTGAGTTGGTGTAATGGCGCCGTTCTTCCTTCTCAGTTTAGTAGGCCTTGCCGCCGTAGCCACCATCGCCGTAACCAGCTCCGCCGGCAACGCTGGCGTCACCCCTCTGGTTGGCGAACACCGCAGCTCCAATATCGGCAACTCCGACCTGTGCGCCACCGCCAGCCTGGTTGGCGGGCACAGAAATATCGGCAGCTCCGACCTGTGGGTTGGCGGGGGCGACGCCGACAGCCTGGATGCCGTTGTACGGGATGTTCCTGGCGAAAGCGTAGGCGGCTCCGGCAGATCCGGCTCCCTGGCTGACGGCATTCTGGGTGAAGCTGGCCTGCGCCTCCTGTTGGGCAGTGCGGCTAGCCTGGCGGGCAGAGGCGGCAACGCCGCTACCAGAGGCAGCACGGTCGGCAGAAGCAGCCTGCCATTGGCGGGCAGATCCAGCTCCCCACTGGCGTCCAATCACGGCCGGGGCGGTGGCCGGGGCGGCTCCCGCTGGGACGTGGCTTGCGGCCTTACCTTTGGCTCCCTGGAAGTTGAAGTTACCGACTCCGACGAATTCATCGCTGCCCTCGAAGGCGTTGTTGAGACCGATGTTGGCGCCACGAGCGGTGTAGGCGCCAGCAATAGCGCCGTGAGCTCCAAGACCACCGAGACCGCGACGTCCAAGTCCATGGATACCGACGCCAGCAATAGCGCCGTGAGCTCCAAGACCACCGAGACCGCGACGTCCAAGTCCATGGATACCGACGCCACGGAGACCAGCAAGATATCAATTATTAAATTCAATAAAAGCGATGTGTAAGATGGTACGCCATATGGTTTTTTGGTAACTGTATTTTTGTGTAACGTTTTACAAGTTAGGATATGGTATTTGCATCATGTAATTGGCAGCTGTGACTGCCATTGTTTTGGATGACGCGTGATGTTTGATATAGCAAGATGAATAAATTCATCATGAAATGTCGTCATGGTGCAATGATGAACATGGCGTGTTGCATGTTCGCGCGTAGTAAAATACACAAACGTCTGGATGTTTTTCAGCACTTTCCGTTTATTGTTAATTTAGACAGGACCTATAAATATCACACCTTGCAGACAACTGCAGGAATCTCAAAGTTGGTAAGAGTCGTCATCTGGGGGGGGCAGGGCACGATGGTAGTGGCCTTACGCATGCGCTTGCTTCTCTGCGTTTAACCATATCCAGCCTTGGGCATAGCCGGCGCTGCTGCCGATACCGCCACCATCGCGTAACCAGCTCCGCTCGGCATGTTGGCGTCACCCCCGCTGTGGCGAACGCAGAAATATCGGCAGAGCTCCGTCGGCAACGTTGGCGTCAGCCCTTCTGGAAGGCGAACGCCAGAAATATCGCAGCTCCGACCTGTGAGATTGGCGATGGCGAACGCCGACAGCCTGGGTTGGCGGGGCACAGAAATATCGGCAAGCTCGACCTGTGGGTTGACGGGGCGACGCCGACAGGCCTGGAGTTGCCGTTGTACGGGATAGTTACACTGGCAAAAGCGTAGGGCGCTCCTGCATGATCCGGACTCCCTGACTGACGCATTCTGGGTGAAGCTGGCCTGCGCCTCCCTGTGGCAGTGCGGCTCAGCCTGGCGGGCAAGAAGGCGGCAACGCCGCTACCAAGAGGAGCACGGTCGGCAGAACAGCCTGCCATTGGCGGGCAGATCCAGCTCCCCACTGGCGTCCAATCACGGCCGGGCGCGTGGCCGGGCGGCTCCGCTGGGACGTGGCTTGCGGCCTTACCTTTGCTCCCTGAAGTTGAAGTTACCGACTCCGACGAATTCATCGCCGCCTCGAAGGCGTTTGTTAAGACCGATGTTGGCGCCACGAGCGTGTGTAGCGCCAGGCAATAGCGCCATGAGCTCCAAGAACCACCGAGACCGCGACGTCCTAGTCCATGGATACCGACGCCAGCAATAGCGCCGTTAGCTCCAACACCACCGAGACCGCGACGTCCGATACCACGGAAACCTGGAGCACCAATCCTCACGCGGCGTACACCGCATCCCAATCCGCGGCATCCGTCACCGAACCTGCGGCCGTATCCGAGTCCGTGCGAGTCCGTGCCGTATCCGAGTCTTGCCCGTATCCGAGTCCATGCCCGTATCCGAGTCCACATGCCCGTATCCGTATCCGAGTCCGCGTCCGTATCCGAGTCCGCGTCCGTATCCGAGTCCGCGTCCGAAGCCGAGGCCACCGTTGGCACCGAGGGCACTGAGACCTAGGTTAGCCGGAGCAGTCCATGGTGCTGCTATCGCACCAGCCACCTATAAGTAATCGAAGTGCGCACGTGGACATCAGCACCTGCATGGATGCTGCGGCTACGTCGTGCTAGTAATACGTGTGCATCTATCTCCTCAAACAAGCTGATGTAATGCAAATAAGCTCATATTGAGGCGCTGAATTGTTGCAACTAAAATGAACGCGCGAAGCATCTACAAAAAGAAGCTCAAGTTCCGTGATCGTTCATTCTTGACTTCCTTCCATAACGTTGCGTGCTGTTTACGCGAACAAAATCTATTAGCTAGCTATTATTTTGCTACAATCGATCTCTGCCGAAGCTGTGATTGGACTGACAAAAATACGAATCCTAAATACTTCTAAATATAAGATACAAACTCTACCCTCATTAAGCGACAAATTCCGGCGTCCGACAGAGTGGCAGACGCGTCCGAAAAACGAACGCCGAATCAGTAATATCAAATGTAAATCATGACTTATAACTTACTAATTATTAGAAATGACATTTGTCATATATTCTACGCGCTGGTAATATTCTACACGTCGTTTGGCGCACGATTCGTGCAAAATAGGAAGAAATATAT